ATTGTTACCATGGCCACCAAGATCTCCCGACTTATCCCCAATTGAACACGTGTGGGATATGATGGGTAGGAGATTACTCAACTTGCAACGTCCTCCTCAGACTCTAGAAGCACTTCGAGAGGAGTTGGTGGTTGCTGGAATGAGATACCACAGGAGGACATTGACCCCCTGATCAGAAGCATGCCTAGGCGCGTTGGAGAATGCGTGGCACATCAGGGTGCATCCACACATTATTAAAGGTCAAAGGGCTTTAAAGCAGTGCAATCATTTTGAAATTTTTATCATTTACTTATTATGCTTCATTAAGTACTTATACAAAATTTTATTAAAATAAAACCATTTTAACTGGGTGTTCGGATTTATATGTCACTTAGTATATCAGGAGAACCGGCAATATGAGCAAAAAATGAAACCTGAAAACTTGGCTCATAACTGAGGACGTAGTTAACGGATGCGCAGGGTATCTGTGGTTATAATAATAGTGTAACAGATTACAGCGGCGTTGCTAATCTATTTTACTATTATTTGCAATTCATAAAAATCAGATCAGATCTTAGACTATTAAGTATTCGTATAGCGGATCTATCAAAAAACAGCATTGCCAAATGGTTCGGACAGAATTTCCCCACTGGCACAAAAATCCCTCAGAATGTTCACTGTTTCAAAAAAAATTATCAAATTACAGTTAATTAGTGGCAATGGATTGGTTTGGTTCTGTCTATCTATCGCGAAACGTGTGATTTCCCCCAGATTACATTAAATCCCAAAAAAATTCTCCAAGTAATGGCAACCCTGTCAAAGCATTAGAATTATAGAAATGCGCTCTTTATTGTAGATAAGGTGAAGTATAGCCTCGCTTAAGTTTCACTCTTTGCTCAGTAGCAATTAAGCAATTAGAAAATCTTAGTTCGGTCCTCCATCTGGTTTCTGCAATTTAAACCTTTAATACGTTATGCCTAACAGTTTTTAGGTGTCCTCAGCGAATTGCTTACGGCACACACAAAATAACGATAAAAAATAAATGTTTCAAGACAAAGCCGGCTTAGTTATACAAAACATAGACGCATGTCACTTTAATAGACCCCGTGACCCAGGGCGTTGAGCCATATCCCCTTAGAGATTCTATATCAATGGGTGCAGCAAAGCTTTTTGGGAAACTCCTTGTATTCGAACCGCCTAGTCAATTTCATACTTCATTTGCGTATTTCTATTCTATTTGGAACTGGATATCGGGGTTGATGCCATAAAAATGGCAGTAAATATGCTCGTGCATAAAAATGATGGTAATGTTATTTCCTGGAAAATCCCATTTTACGATGATCGCCGCGATTTGTGATTATATTGGAAACTAAATCTGACTAGTGAACGGTATAATAAACGTTCGGTAATGGTGCATATTGTGCATGGGTGATTTTTACACTAATTTGTGAAATTTTTATGAGCGAAGTTTTTGTGTTAATTTGGTTTTAATTTTTTATAAGTAATGGGAATTATGTTCTGTATGGTATGTATACTAAGTGACATATAAATCCGAACACCCAGTTTAAATGGTTTTATTTTAATAAAATTTTGTATAAGTACTTAATGAAGCATAATAAGTAAATGATAAAAATTTCAAAATGATTGCACTGCTTTAAAGCCCTTTGACCTTTAATAACGTGTGGATGCACCCTGATGTGCTACGCATTCTCCAACGCGCCTAGGCATGCTTCTGATCAGGTAGTCAATGTCCTCCTGTGGTATCTCATTCCAGGCAACCACCAGCTCCTCTCGAAGTGCTTCTAGAGTCTGAGGAGGACGTTGCAAATTGAGCAATCTCCTACTCATCATATCCCACACGTGCTCAATTGGGGATAAGTCGGGAGATCTTGGTGGCCATGGTAACAATGTGACATCATTTTTAAAACAACCCGAGTGGTGAGATAAGCAACTATAGGCCATTATCTATTCTGAGTGCAGAGTCGAAGATTTTAGAGCGAGCTTTATTTGAAAAAATAATAGCCTTCCTCAAGGAAAAAGATATTCTGGCACACTGTCAACATGGCTTTAGGAAACAAAGGAATGTTTAAACGGCTATTCTACAGTTCATTAGCAAATTGTATGGATGTTTAGATGAGGGAGAAAAGTGCACAGGACTGTTTATGGACATGATAAGGCATTTGACATGGTCAGTCATCAAATTTTAAGTTTTAAGCTATATAATTATGGATTACGTGGAAAAATACATGATTGGGTCATATCTTGCTACATGGGAGCAGACTGTAGATTTGATTTTTGTTAACGACCTGCCAAGAGTAGGTAGCATCACGGATGATTTGGTTATGTATGCTGACGATAACACTTACCTGTGTTTTTAAAGCAATATAAAGCCATGCATTGATAAACTACACTGCATATTAAATAAATTTACAAGCTATTTTTCTAGCAATCAATTGTCACTGAACGCTAAAAAGACTGTCTTCATGAATTTTACTCCTCGTTCCAGCACAATCAATGAGAGCCAATTAGCCAAGGTCAATGGCAAGTTGTTGGTTCAAGCAGCAAATACAAAGTTTCTAGGAATTCATCTTGATGCAGCTCTTCAGTGGGAGCACCACATAAGCAAACTATGTGAAAGCTTGTCATCTGTTTGTTTTGCAATCTGGAGGCTCCGACAAGTATGTCCAGAGAAAGTTATAATTTCATATTATCATGCACAGTTTGCTTCTAGAGTAAAATATGGCATTATTTTTTGGGGAACATCAAGTCATGTGCAGAGGCTTCTTATATTATAAGAACAATAGCTGGTGGCGCGTATACCGTGCAAAGAACTTTTCAAAAAGTACAGTATGATGACAGTTCCAAATATCATGATGGTACAACTATTAATGCACGTAAAATCAAATTTATGTAGCTTTCCAGTCAATTCAGATTTTCATACGTATAATACTGCAATAGTCATTTCCGCACATCGTTCGTCCAATTTTGAAAAAAGTCCCAAATATCTCGGCTTAAAACTGTTCAATACATTAGAAAATTAGATCAAAGATATTCATGA